CACACACTTACATACACACACCATCCACCCCCTCTCTCTCCCGCTCTCACTTTCTCCCTCTTTCTCCCTCTCTCTCCCCCTCTCTCTCTCCCTCTTTCTCTCCCACCCCACCCCACCCCACCCTGCCCGCTATAGCGTATAGACCATCAGCGCGTGGGCGTGGGTGAGCAGATGGGAAAAAGGAGAAGGTCGCGAGTACTACTCACTCTTGTTCTAGATAAAAGTCGTGGTGGCGCAGTCCGCACGCGCGTCTGTGTATATATCTTTTTACACCTGGGCGAGGGAAGAAGATGCTTAATTGGAGCGGAAGTTTGCATAAAGACAGGAAGGAAGAAAACGTTCACAGTACGCTAGTTACATATTGAGAGGAATATAAAGATATCCGGGGAAAGAACTGACAGCTCGACCAATAAAATATGATGCCTAGTGGTTAGACTACCGGACTCGTAATCGTGAGGTTGCGGGTTCGTGGGTTCGACCAAAGGGCCCGACGTTGTGTACTTGAGAAAGACATTTTACACGAATTTTCCTCACTTCACCCAGGTGGGAATGGGTACCCGGCCATTGACAGCGAAAGATCTTGTCAGTTTGTTTGTGATTTAGCGCCTATAAATGGCCGCTTGCACTGTATATAATTATGCTTCCCTCGAGGTTGAGGTTGTTTCAGAACGCTGTCAGGTCTGCTGGGGTAATAGTATAGATTGTGAAGCGCATAGAGCTTGCTGTTGAGTGGGGATTTGCACTATATAAATGCTATCTATTATTATTAGGCATAACATTTCCCGTTTCGTCCGTTAGTGTTTTACATTATCATGGCACTGCGTAAGACATCCATCTCTTTAAGACGGTCACTTTTATCCTCCAAAGTAAACAGCGGTCTTGGATACGTGCCACTGAACATCACTTTCTTGTTTGTTTGGTTTAGAAAGGTTTTACGGCGCTCGCAACTGCATAAGGTTTGGTGAAAGCCAAGGGGTGGACGGCAACAGAGAAGTCCAAACGGGGAATCAGGCTTACTCAGCTCACCTCTCTTGCCTCAACAGCACAAAGTCTGCTTCGACTATCAAGGCACCCCGGAAATATCAGTTCACAAGAGAGTGACAAGCATACAAAAGAATAAGAGAAAAAATGACGAAAGTAAGGATTAGGAAAGAACGAAGGTTTATAGACAGTCCAACACACACAATTGGGCGTTGTTAATCGCATCAAAAACCACGATTTTGATTATAAAACAACAACAAACAAACAAACAAACAATGAATAAACCAAACAAACATAGAAACTGCAGGTGAATAACGTCATATCAAAGATTTGTGTGTTAACTTTATACGACCAATCTTGTATCTAAAAATAATAATTTACAGAAGAAACAAAATACCGACATTGCACTTTCAAAAAGAAAAGTAGACATAAAAGAATCAAGACCT